AACCTCATGCTAACATTTAATTCAAACATGACATTCAAACTATTTGGAGACTTACTATACAAAACCATTCAAAACCCTCATAACCACCCAACTAAATATAAACCACGACTTTGCTTAGAAATCCATTCTGTGTAAAACAAATACTTCCTGCCCTTAATGCATGTAATTTACTTAAAACTGGTATGCGCTTCTCGGTGTATCTTACTAATTTTTGATTAAAAGATATCTTAATTTCTTCATTCAATAAAGTGATGAAAAATTTTATAGGAAAACTTTAGGTTATATCCTAACAATATTGAATTGATGCAAAAAATGAAACTCAAACATTACGATATATTGATTAATGTTACGATATAATGATACGATATATCGTTTAAATCGTGTCTTCTGTAAATTGCAACTTAAACTGTTGGAAGTTAATCGAATTGTCTGTAGCGAAACTAAGCAAGTCATTGACGCTCACATCTGGCTGAGCTATGGGCATATCCTACAAAATACTCAATAAGCTGGTGGCAGCATTCAAAGGCACCCAGTACTGGAGAGTTTAATGATAATATGTTCATCGGAAATTTACACGTTTCTTAGTCCCTACGATCATGTGCTCTAATACTGCTAAGTAATTTTTTGTGGAGGTACTTGATATCGTTGTTGTGTATTCACAAGTCTGGACCGAATTCAACTTTGAAAGACAACATCGAACGTCTTATTTATGAGATATGATCTCAAATGTTATAAGCAGTAAAAGAATACAGTCTGAAATACAAGTAGAAGAATACAGTTCCTCAGATTCTTCTGTAGCGTCGTTAGTTGCCATACAATTATATTTCATCAAAAATATTATCAAATAATCGGCTTTTCTTGCATCTTTTTTTTTTGATTTAGAATTATACACATCTTCAGAAGACATTCTTTACTTTCACAATAATAATAATAAAAGTAAGTCATATTTATATAGAAATAGTTATTATGTATCTATTTCTATCTATATTATATATAACATATAGAAATAGAAATAGATATGAAATAGATGTTTTCGGATTTGATCAGACATCATATATCGGTTCGATCACAGAATATTTTGAAATAAGAACTTTTTATTAAACTGTAAAAATCTTAATTTAAAATACTGTTAAAATTATTTTATACTAAAAATATCAATATACCATTATTCTTAAAAATTATATTAAAAAACAGTTTGTGCAACGCTGCTTCGATTAATATTTAACACATTTTTTTGTTTCAAAAGCCTTGCGGGCTTGTTAAATGTGATTTATTTGCTTGGATAATATATCAAAATTAAATGAAAAAATGTTTGTTTGACTTTGAAATTTTATATTTTGATTGAAAAAAATGATTTTTAATAAATTAAATTTTTTTTATGTTTAAGTTACAATTTTTTTTTTGTAAGATTTTTAACCATTTTTCGCACATGTTCAACATTTACACATTTTTCGTGTTCAATTATTTTGGGCTTAAAAAAAATTTCAAAAAAAAACAATAAAAATAAAGTCATTTGATTTCATTTAAATTATTTCGATTTTATTTTATTTTATATTTTAATTCAATTTAACATTATTTTAATTTTATTTCATTCTTTTTAATTCTATTTAATTTAGTTTTGCTTTTTTTTAAATTTATTTCATTTAATTTTATAATTATTTAATGCTATTGTGTTTTATTCAGCATAATTTATTATAATATAATTTAATTTAATTCATTTCAATTATAATTCATTTTATTATTAATTTTTATTGTTTCATTTTATTTTATATTAGTTTATTTTATTGTATTTTATTTCATTTCATTTTATATTATATTATTTGAATTTAATTTTTCTTGTCTTATTTTAATTAATTTTATTTTATTTTAGTTTTAGTTTATTTTATTTTGTTTCATCAAATTTTATTTTATTTTATGTGCTTATATTTTAATTTATTATATTTCATTTTATGTTATTTAACTTTATATTATTTTATTTCATTTTTTTATTTTATTTTATTGTATTATATTTTATTTTTTTAATATTTTATTTTATATATTTTTTTCTATTAATTTTAAGTTATTTTGTTTTATTGTGTTAGACTTTTTTTATTTAACTTTGTTTATTTTTATATTATTATATTTTGTTTCATTTTATTTTATTTTTGTTTTATTTCATTTATTTTTTATAATATTTAATTTTAATTTATATAATTTAATAATTTAATTTTATTTAATTTAATATAATTTACTTCATTTTTTTTTATTATTTCATTTGGTATTATTTTATTTTGTTTTATATTACATCATTTTATTTTACATTATTATATTTCATTTTATTTTGTTTGATTTTATTTTATTTTGATGTTATTTTATTTTATTTTAATTTATTTTATTTTAATTAGCATGACATTATTAACTTAACTTAACTTGACTTGTTTTGTTTTACCAGTCTATTCTATTTTATTTTATTATTATTTCATTTTACTTTTTGTTTTATTTTATTTTCTTTTATTTAATTAAACAAATAAATATTTAAATTTTTATTCAAATTTAATTTAAATAATTTTATTGCTTGTTTTTTAATTTTTTTTATTTTTCTTTATAATTTTACTTATTATATGTGCTAAATTTTTACGACTCTTAAACTGATAAATCATTTTGGCCAAAAAAGAAGATACTATTGTTTGGCAATACCTCTAAAACAACTCCATAAATGTTTTTGTAGTCCATTAGAAGCGAGTCTAATTGTGTTATGTAAAATTTCTTTAAATTAGTCAAAAGAGTGATTAAAAAATAATGTAGATTTGCCAAAGTAATAAGATTATACATTTTTATGAAATCAAAATTTTAAAAATTGTTCATTAATTTATAATTGTTCATAATTTTATAATTTTTAAAAATTATAATAATTTATAAAATTAATTTTCATTATTTATAAATTAAACTCCGGCATCTCAGCGACACATGTAAATAATTTTCAATTTGGCTTATATATAAATATATATTAAAATCAACAAAAATTAAAGAATCAGTTAAGAATACTAAAAAAGTAAAATTTTTTTTATTATTTTTTATTGTATTTTTATAAATATAACAAAAAAAAAAAAGCTGTACGAAAATACTGTAAAGAAAGTACTTCTGTAGAAAACCTCTGCATATATATTTATAAAGCTGTTAAATAGATATTGTAATTTGATTTATTATCATTTAGGGTGTTGTCAGCTAAAAAAAAGAAAAAAAGAAACCATATAATTATAAAACACTAGTATTAAAAATTTCAATATCGCCTTAAGAAGTATTTCCTTTTATACACTTCGAAGGTACATATACAAAAATAGTGCATCTATATAGCACTATCAGAAACAATTTGTTTGAGAGCATTTGTACTAATATCAAATAATTATATTATTTTATGCTAGGTCAAAGATTTAGTTGACTTAGTTCTTAGTTGACTTTAAAAATAATTTTAGTGTTAACACAAATAAATAAAAATAAATACATATTTCATTTTATTTAATAAACTTATTATAATTTAATATAATATATTCCAATTACTTATTATTTGATTTAAATTCATTTCTATTTAATTGAATTATTTGTTATTTAGTTTATTCTATTTTATTTTTATTTATTTTACCTATTTTTATTTAATTTAATATTTTATTAGATTTTAATTTAATTTAATTTTATTTTATTATATTATATTTTATTTTGTTTTGTTTTTTTTTACCTTATTCCATTTTATTTTAGTTAATTTTATTTAATTTAATTAAATTTTTTTTTAATTGATTATAAATAATGTAATTAACAAAATGATTGTGGGTATTAGCTGAATGTGAGGGCATTAAATTTCTCATAAAAGTTGGTATTTAAAATAATCTCAAATGAAACACACTAAAGCAAGTAGAATGAATTGAGTTAATTAAATTTTAATTCGTCCAGATGTCTTTCTTTCAGTTGTGTCAGACTTCAATTCATTTTATTAACACAAAACAATAATAAAAAAATAATATTTAATTATTTGACATTCGAGGAAGATAAGAATTTCAATCAAGTTCGGAGTCATTGCTTGTACATTACCAGTTCCCACATAAAATTGGTCGAATTTTATTATTTGGTGTTATTTGGTGAGAGGAAAATAGTCTATTATATAGTACCTTGGACAACTGACGCAAATAGTTGTCAAATGGTCCACTAAATAAGTATATTCTACATATTATTTTAAAACACTTTATTGGGAACTTCAAAAGTTATGTTGCCCCAAGCAGTTATTTCTGGACTTAAAAACGGAGTTTCGGTGGCGCAAGTTATATAGCTGGCTTACTTTCTTATCAGTGTGTCAATCTTACCGAAGAGAAAAAAGGTTCCCATATATGTAAATATACAGATAGTCTGCTGCTACTGCTACAGATAGAAGCAGTACGTTCTCTTATTTCGAAAATATTGATGAACTGTTCCGTCCTGCAACAGTAATTATCAAGTGAAACAAAATAATGCTCATTCACAAAATAATCAATAGCAATTCGTCTGTAAACAATTTCGCAAGTGACGCACCACTTCGGATAATCACTAAGGTAAAAAGCTGGTGCGTTCTTGCAAGTATGGTAAGGTAATTACCTTCAGACCTCTAGCCACATTTTTTTATGAGTTTCCGGATTTGATGTGAGCCAGGGGAAGATTATTGGTCCAGGTGTTCTTGTCCGATTTAATTCTATCTGAAAATAAGACATTCCCAACAGGTGATAATTTGATCTTCATTCTGTCTCTGTGGAGCCAGAATCTCTCTAATTCACTTAACCGCAGTGCACCGCTCAGCTGTGAGCCAAAATGCTAATTATTTCAAATTCTAAAACTTATTCTTACTTTTACAGTTAACATTCTTAAAAATCAAACTTTTCTATTTTGAATTAATGACATCTAAGTAGTTTTTGATTTTAATCTTTTATGAAGATATTAATAAAAAAAAATATTATTTTTATTTTTTTACGTTCTTTATTTTGATACTTTTTTATATTTAAGTCAAGTAATATATATACAAATACTTTATTTGGTAAAAAAACAAACATTTCTAAAAATTTAAAAACTTCTGATTGATCGGGATCAAAAATGCGTAGAAAGCAATCCATAAGGAAATCTAAATTTTCAAAAAGAAGAGTGCGTAGGGGTTATTACGGCAATCATTTAGGACGTCAAATGCGTTCTGATAAACTCCCGGAAATGACGTTATCTACAATTAATGCTAATGATTGTAGACCTGAACCTTTTATATATAATATAAACCCATTCTCAAATGTTGAATCACCCTTTGCAAATTCAGTTTCAACATACGGTGATATGACAAATAATTATGCAGAAAATTTGTTTTTCCCAATGGAGATACTATACCCATTTAATACAATCACACAAATAGCATTCTCCGGAAATGTAACTTTACCCATAGAGAATAACAAAGAGAAACTTGATGAAGTCGTCCCAATGGAAATAGATGAATTCTATGATTATCCAAATATGATGGAAGTGAATGAGGAGTTTACTTTTGGTAACGGTACTAACGTTTCACCAATATCCTCTAGCGCTTCATTTTATTCTCATGGCGAAACTCAGACGTTCACTCAAAATAACTTCCAAAATCGATTAAAGAAAAAAAAATCTCGACATAATATCCAGAAATGTCCATTCTGTAAAAAGAAAAGGAGGTTTGTTTTGCATTACATAATGAAATATTAAAAATTTACTACTCACTAATTTAATTTTTTAAATAGAATCTAAGTTATGACAAATCCCAAATCCGCAGTCATATAGATGTTAATACCAAGAATTTAGAATCTACATCAAATCTCAAGTATAGTTTTAAAAAGATTATTGAGAGAAGCGAAAAATTCTAAATCATTTTATGAAGATTTATATACAATAACTTTTGAAAAAGTGCGCTCAGGTATATATATCATATGCTTTATTTATGTTTATTCATATAGAATATTATTTATTCTATATATATAAATATTATACATTATAAATATTATGTATTTAAGTATATTTATATATACCATATTACATTTATATTTATAATCGTTTTGCATATTTATAAATTGTAAGACTTTAATAGAACTTTCTTTATAGAAGAATTGGAAGCTACCTTGGTATGAAAATTGTTAGAGTTAGAAAAATTATATCATAAATTCAAAATCAATATATTGTATAATGGTTTTTAAAACTACATATAATAAATAAACCAGTTCAAGTAAAATATTGAAAACATTGCATTTTTTTGTTATTTTATAGATATAGTAGAACAAATAACCATAGTACTATTATTACTTTATTTATTTATATATGTAGATAGTAACCGTGTTATTGAGACGGTTATTTAGATCTGGGTTCTTTGTCTGGTCGAAAAACTTCCCTTAAAATTTATTTTAAAAAAGTTTTTGGTGATAATGTTTTAGTTTCAAGCATTTCTTAAATTCGCAAAAATGTCTATTACAAAATATACATAGAGATTTAAGTACCATACATCTGGTTTGATGGAGACTTATTTATTTTTTTTTTTTATTTTATTATTATTTTTTTTTATTAGATTTTATTTTAATTTTGTTAATATTAATTCATTTAAATAAATGTTATTATATTTTATTTTACTGTATTTTATTGTATTTTATTTTATTTTATTTTATTTTATTTTATTTTATATTATTTTATTTTACTGTATTTTATTGTATTTTATTTTATTTCATTTTATTACATTTTATTACATTTTATTATATTACATTTAATTTTATTAGATTTTATAATATTTTATTTTATTATATTATATATTATTTTGTTTTTCTTTTTATCTTGTTTCATTTTATTTTACGAAATTTTATTTAATTTAATTTAATTTATGATGTATTTTTTTTAATTGATTATAAATAATGTAATTAACAAAATGATTGTGGGTATTAGCTGAATGTGAGGGTATTAAATTTCTCATAAAAGTCGGTATTTAAAATAATCTCAAATGAAAGACACTAAAGCAAGTAGAATGAATTGAGTTAATTAAATTTTAATTCGTCCAGATGTCTTCCTTTCAGTTGTGGATATTTGCCGTTTAGATAACGTATACGTTCCATGACAGACTTCAATTCATTTCATTAACACAAGATAATAATAAAGAAATAATATCTAATAAGATGAATTTGAACTTCAAATTTAATATCTCAAGCTTGACATTGTTTTTCGGTATTTATTTTTATGATAAGTTTTAATGGTTTGTTCCGTGAAGACAACGCAAATGTTTTTGGCTCTGGCAGTTTGGTGTACATAATTGTGTTTTTAACGTCTTGAGAAATATTGCAATTAAAAATGTCAAATTTAAATAAAAGTTACCATTTCATTTTATGTAACAATCAATTTGAATTTAAGAGCAGTACTGTAAGATAATAAGCAACGAAAGTGCTATGAAATGTAAACGCTTTCTCCGTTTTTGCTACATTAAAATATAAAAATATCTTAATAATTAAAATCGTTAACCGAGATATATTGCATAAAAAAAAACTTTTGTTGAAGATTTTAAAATAATCTAAATAATTAAAAACTATAAATAAAATGTAACAATAATAAGATGATCCACTAATGTGTCCACTTTGGAGATATATATCAGATAGCAGGATCTATTGGTGATAATAATTATAGTGTCATCAATTAGTCAAAATACGTAGGACCAAACTTCGTAGCTGTTGTAAACTGATCATGTAGACCATTGTAACTGATGGCTTTTGATTGCAATGGAGCTCTAGAACTGCTTTTTTGATGACGATATTGATGCTATCCTCTGGTTTCTTGTCAAATTTTTTATAAATTCCAGCAATATTTTTAAATCAGAAAACATCTTTATTTCTATTAAATAAAATTTAGTAAATATTAATAGCTGAAGCTTTCTTGTCAACACATAGGATTTATTTAAGTCCATTCTCTTTAAAAATATTTATTAATATTATTTTATATTATTGAGAAACATTGTAACAAAAAATTATATTCTATTATAACTATATATTACACGAAATGAGAATTTTATTGGAAAAAAAATAGATAAAAATCTTGGGACAAGAAATACCTTACAAATTATAGTCTCTAAATAAATGAATATAATTAATAGATGTGCAGAAGGGATATAGGTATTAGGCTATTAACAATCTTTCATATTATGATATAATATGTATATATTATATGAGAAAAATTCTTAATCTGCCCTTGACAAGGCATCCTCGAAAACTAGATGAACTTGCAATTAACAAAGGCATATATTAGACCAAAAAGTGTTTGGAACTATGTCTCTCAATAACCAATATTCGAAATATGAATCTTAAGTTATTACACAAGAATATTATAACTTTAGGTATAAAAACGGAGTCAACACGATTCCTTTGACGCCAACACTCAGCATATAGCGGGTGTACTTTTTAAATGTAGAGCCGTGGTCTTTTTAAATTGGACACCAGAGAATTTACTACATCTGAACGTGATTGTTCTTTTTATAATCGCCATGAAATAGAAAATATAGGCAAACCTGTTTTTATGCGGTCTTATTATGTGCCTATATATGTCACATTATTGATATATGCCCGATTTCCAGAGAACAGAGACGTATTTTATAAGAAGTCAAAGTCAAAGTTAAATGGTAACAATACTAATAATCTCTATAAATTTATGAAAACTGTTTAAAGTTACAGAAGATTAAATATTGAAGAATTTATATGACTGAAAATGTTAATAATTTCTACCCTTTTTTGTATGCCAATCCTACAGACAACAAATATGTTATTGTCAATTTAGATTTTAAGACAACCCCTATAATTTTTGTATGTGCTGTATGATGTTTTTAAATCATTAATATATAATAATAATAATAGTAATAATTATATTAAATCATTTTATTAACTATAAAAAATCGCAGTTCAAATAATAAAAAATGTATAAGATCCCGTGATGCTTTTGGGGCACCAATCAGTCAAAAAAAAAACATTGGAAAACATGGAATATTGCACGATACTTTCAAATAATAATTTGCATTTTAACTATTATGCTAAATACTGTATATAGAAATATGTTTAATTTTGCTTTTCCGAGATCTCCGTTTGACATTAAACACCAAGAACTATCTTTCGAAAGTAAAGTTCATTCCCTCTGGAATGGGTTCAGTTTATACAAAAGATCTTACATGATCACATTGCTTTATTCCAACGGGAACCCACAACTTTGTTGTTTTTTATTATATTCTAGATTATGCTCTTTCAAACCTGCTGAGAAAGGCGATTAATTATGAATACTGCGTTCAAGGTATATCAATATAATTTTCCTCAAAATGTCCATTTGTCTGTTCATTTGGAATTGATTTCTGCACCAACTGATTAAAATTAATTGACTACAAAGCATATAACGATTTGCGATTTGAATTGACTATGAATATAAATGATAGTAAAAGCGACCATTCACTATAATTTAGATATCGATTGGTTTCCATATGCTTTCATATATTATTTTAAGACAGATAATTAATTCTGATATGTATTTTTCTAAAAATTCCTGAAAGAAGTGACTATATATTTTACTGTGAATTGATATGTTAACATATGAAGAAAATCTCAAGAGCTTAACAATATAGATGCGAAAATATGTCACTAAAATAATAGCATAATTTGGTTCTGAAAAATTTTACCTCTTAACACATACTCTTTAATCGGGAAGAATTTGTAATATAAAAGTTAAGCGAGATTTGTATAAAGATAATGCTGATGCTAACTACTCTTATTTTTAGATTAATAGTATTGTCAATGACATCTATGTTAAGTTTAATATCTATATTTACATTTTTCTAATACGCATACTTATTTCTGTGAACAGTTAGAACTATATTCATTGATTTTAATAATTCAAAATTGGTAGAGAAATTACTCTGGTAAACCAATTTCTCCAGAATTTTACTTTTAAAAATCGACTGACAACTAGGGATGTTGTTGATATCATTAGCATTTTATTTGAAGCAGTCCATTTTACTTACGGCAGATGTTCATCGCGCAGGCATAATATAATATTTACCAAATAGGTTGTGTCTAGCTTTTTGCTTATGATAAACTAAAATATTTGCCCGACTAGAATTCAAACTCTAACAGGACACCACTATAAATAATATTAGCGACTTGAGTCCAGAGATTAGACAGAGAACCACTGTAGCTAAAATATTTTACTGTTACCTTAGTTGGATTTTTGGATGAAGAACATCCCCTCGTCCGACAAAACTTCATAAGTCACTTATCCCACCTGTGCTTCTGTACTAACTGTAACTAACTGTTCAATTATAACATATATATTTTTTATATATCAGATCTTAAAATTAGCAAAAAAAATTTTTGAAATTATTAATAAAGCATAAAATTTTGTACTTTTGATGCCGTTTTTAAGGAAAGCAACTGTCTTGCCTATTTAAACAAATTTTTTATTTAATTATAAGATAATTTTATTCTGCATAGAATTAATAAGAGATTTTAAATTTAATAACAGTGTATTTATTTATTTTAAAGCTAAATTGTATAGAAATAAGTATTAAGTTTTTTTTTATATACTGATGTAATATATTAATAATAAAAATATAATACTAATAACAATAATAATAATAGAAATGTAATAATAGTAATATTTTTTATATTTTAATATTTTAATTATATACTATTTTTATACACACTTCTGAATGTATATATAAAAATACATTCAGTAGTATAAAATTCAATTAAATAAAAGTAATAAAACTTTATTGTTAGAATTCACTACTGTTCAAAAACCTTAATATTTTAAATGTAGTTTAAGAATATTTTTCTTTTTTTCGTATTTCTATAATTAAAAAAATAAAATTTGAATTTATTGTGCAGCACAAAAAGGAAAGACTTAAGCAACAAACTTGTTTTTATATTCAGTTAACATTATTGTAGGAATAAGAAACATACGAAATATACAAAACTAGCCATCTTCATAGAGCACATATCATATGTTTACTGTTTAACCTTATGTATTTATCCAAACGAATGTTCATATTTCTCGCAGCTCAAGTCTGTGCTCCATTTCTTCGCTTCCCTGAAAGTAGTCGAAGATTTGCTGGGCCATTAGCGTACAGACGTTTATACTGGCAGTTTAAAATATTTATTGGCACTACACCATTCAATACGTTACAGTCACATATTTCACAAATGCCTATTTT